GGCTCACTCGGTCCCTGTGGGCTTTGGAGGTGCTGATACTCAGAGGACGGGTCACCCTTGGGGCAGACGGCTTCTGGGACAGGCTGGTGGGTGTGGTGAGTGGGTAACTTGAGCACATCCCCGAGTGTGTGTGTGTGTGTGTGTGTGTGTGTGTGTGTGTGTGTGTGTGTGTGTGTGTGTTTGGGGGGTGTGATTAAATGGTGTGCAGTGGGCTTTAGGAAAGTACTGAAATGTTTGTTTTGTGTTCGCCAGTAGGCAAAATCGAGTTATGATTGGTACTATAGAGTTTAGATTTAGATATATCTGCAAGTGACAGCAAGTCTATAATAATTGCGGCTTCACAAGACAGAAATGTGTTACTCTGTCTAGCATCAGTCCCTTGTCAGCAAATTGGGTGCCTCTCTGTGCTTGGCCTTAACCTTATGGTCCATGGAGGATCCTTGTCATGTTTGCATTCCACGAGCTCTCGCAGGGCGGTAGGACGCGGGTAAAGATGGGTCACAGAAGTTGCTCGTGGTGCTTTCTTTCTGCTTGTGTCCTACGGTTATAACTTACATCCTCCTGACTTGACTTAGTGACCTGGTTGTACTTAGCTATATGGGGATCAGGAAAACGTAACTTTGATTTTAGTGGCTCATGTGCTCCACTGAAGTCTGGGCTTCTGACGACTCAGGAAGAAGGATTTCTACCGTAAGCCTTTCCCCATCTGTCCACACATTGATTTATTCATTCCAGAGGGGAAGGCCAGGCCTGTTCTGGTCAGTTTCTCCTTTCCCTGTCTCCCTCCCTCGCTCTTCTCCTTCATGTCAGCTTTATCGAGGTCTAGTTTACATACAATAAAATTCACCTACTGTAAGTGGGCAGTTAGATGTGTTCTGACACCTGTGTACAGAAGTGTGACAGCCACCTGAATCATGATATAGAACATTTCCTTCACCCAGAGCGGTTCCCCTGTCCCTTTGCTGTCAATCACCTCTCCCCATGCCCTGCCCCCAGCAACTGCTCATCTGTTTTCTGTCTCTAGAGTTTTGCATTTTTGTGGAATTTTATATAAATGGAATCTTACAAACTGTAGACTTCGGTGTGTGGTTTCTCTTACTCAGGGATGCCTTTGCGAGTCACCCATGTTGGTGCATGTGTCAATAGTTCCTTTCTTTTCATTGCTAGGTATTGTTCCAGTATGGCTACCCCGCAATGTGTCTGTCCATTCACTGTTGATGGACACATGGGTTCTTTCCAATTTTTGTCCATTACAAAATAAATTTCCTATAAACCTTCACGTACAAAGCTTAGTGAGGGCATCTGTTCCCCTCCTGCCTCTGGTAAGTACCTAGGATTGGAATTGCTGGGTTATATGATAAAGGTATGCTTAGCTTTATAAGAAACTGCCAAACTATTTTACAACGTGGCTATGCCAATTCGCATTCCCACCAGGAATGTATTAGAGTTCTAGTTGCTCCACATCCATGCCAACGCTTGGTATTGTCAGTCTTTTTAATTTTAGTCATTTTTAGTGGGTATATAGTGTTATCTTACAGGGTTATAATTTACATTTTCCCACTGAGTATTGATGTTGAACATCTCTCTTTATGCTGACTTGCCATGCATATGATCTTCTTTGGTTAAGTGTTTGTTCCATTTTTGTTTATTATTTAATTGCTTTTAAAAACTTTAACTTGCCTGTTCCTAGGCCCCCTGTCGGACCTTCTGAATCAGACTCCCGGGGTAGAGCCTGGAAATCCCTTTTTTAAGTCAGCTCAGCCAGACTTAGAAACTGTAAGACTTGAGTGTTTTTAACTGCTCGTGGGGGGATGTTGCAGTGAGTGAGAAGTGAGGACCGTGGGAGGCCCACTAGTCTTTGCCCAACTTCCCTCGGGTGGAGCAAAGGGCCTTTGCCAGAAGGTCCCTGCCCCTTGCTCCTCCCAGGGTGGTCCCAGGAGGGGCTGAGGGAGGAGGGGAACACCCTCCACGTCGTCCCCCTGAGCCCAGGCTGCGCTCGGGGCTGTGGGGTGTGGAGGTGAGGGCCTTCCTGGCGCTCCGGGGGGGCCTGGTGCTTCTTAGTGCTCCCACCTGACCTCCTCAGGGAGGCCACTTGCTCTTTTCACCCCTGCCCAGTTTGAACGAACTCAATCTATTGCATTAAAAATACCAATGCTGACCTGTGACCCTCTGCTGCTGTGGTTGGTACAGTGAGTTTATCGAAGAGCCATATTCAGATATTACCCTTGGGCCTTTTCAGTTCATAGATTAATCATCTACTGTGTGGCTTTTCCTCCATAGTTATTATCTGCCCTCTGGTCATCTTCTTCTTAGAGCAGTTTCACAAATTAAGGACATAAGATGCTTTTTCCAATTAACCATTGAGAAGCAGTGTCTCATCACATTTTAGCAGACAGAGGATAAATGAAACACACAGGCTTTTTAAAGCAGATTGTTTATGTACAGCTCTTGGAATTGGTGTAGTGAGTTTTCCATGATCCTAAAGCATTGTGATTTTCTAGGAGGTGGGTATCAATGAAGCCCAAATTTGTTCATGCTGGACTCTTTCCTTTTTGTAAACCTCTTTCCTGACCGTAGTCTCTGTGTGGAGTCAGGCAGGCTGTGCTGATCCTGGGTCCCCTTGTTCCT